ACACACATACGCAGACACACATATGCAGATGGACCTGCTGCACACACATACGCAGACACACATATGCAGATGGACCTGCTGCACACACATACGCAGACACACATATGCAGATGGACCTGCTGCACATATACGCAGACACACATATGCAGATGGACCTGCTGCACACACATACGCAGACACACATATGCAGATGGACCTGCTGCACAAATGCGCAGACACACATATGCAGATGGACCTGCTGCACATACAGGCCTCCATAACTGTATTCATAGCAATACTCTCCCCACCGATCCCCATGTACTTAGAGCTTCCTATCTATAACATTGCCTGTAAAAACCCTAAACATGAACAGGTGAAAAGTGCTTCTGCTTTCATATGTTCTTTTATTTAATCCAACTTATAAAAAGCCAAGCCACAGTTTCGAGGAGGCATCTGTACAGCATCTGGCTTTTCTGGAATCACTGTCACTGTAGGGAAACTTTCTTTAAACCTGTCCCAGCAGAAGGGGGGTGTTTTCTGACTTTGTGGGGTCTTGCCTTTGGATTTCTCCATCCTCAAAGGTAAGCAAATCAGATGAAAACTAACAAAATAAAAGTACGACCATAGTTTGTGAATAAAAAAGACCAAAAATGTGGAGAAATCGGTGCTTTTGAAATGGGGGACAAATGTGAAGACCTAATGTAGGCCTATATGCAAGTACCAATACTCACTCAAAGAGCAAAGAAGCCTCATTCATATGTAAACACACACATATTTTGAAAAAGCTTCTACGTGACACAGCCCAAGGTGCTGACCACAAATTACAAACACTGACGGAAATACTAACTGAAAGACATCACAAGCATTTAAAGTCTCTCTACCTCCCCCTGCTGGCTGATGATGGGAACAGCATACTGCAGCTTGATGTCGTGAAAAAGGCACTCGAGGAAGACGTTGGCGACGCCGATGAGGTTGTGGTTCTCCTGTGCCTCGTAGAAAGGGTCCCCACGTTTGTTGTTCAGCTTGCTGTACTGTGAGGGACACGAAGTCGGGGTCATTCCTGGGTGACAGTCATCGACATCCCTGCACTCTGGGCAGGTAAAGCGCTCGTGGAATCCTACCACGTCTTCTACCCCTTCCTTCCATTCCTGGTAGTGGTCCCGCATGTCCACTAGCTTGTTCTCCAGCTTCTCGATGGTCCAGACTTGTGTCCCTCTGCCCCGCCGGCGCACCTGGATGGCAGGCTCGCTCACGATGGCCCCCCGCTGGACAGAGAGCACACGTGCGCACACAGGTACAGCAAACTGATTCATGTTGGAGCAAATACACAGCGTCAAAACGTACGATGAAGCAGGTCGGGCATTAGCAGGGACCCAAAGGAACACAGAGAAACAGCGGAACGGAAAGGAGCGCATTCAACTTACTACGATAAAGATCACATGAGCCGGCAGCAGGGACCTACTTAACTGATTAGATGAGCTGTTAGTGTGGTTACTTAATCTTACTTAAAAAGGCTGACCAGATAATCCATGTCAGAGAGGACACTTTGGGTTTGTAATGTCCCACTTCAATTAAAAGGACCTGGATTTCACATAAGCACTGATTTCTTGCTGTGTGCTGATTGGTCAGTCTCCTACAATCACGCATGCATCACTAATGTTAATGTGAAACAGCTGGACGAATCTTTCAGTCATGGAATCAAACCAGTCAATGCGTGAGAACTGAACTATTTAGCCGAGCACAGGAGCCCTTCAGTTTGTAGTTTGTAAAACCTGAAGTAGCTCAGTGTCCTCCCTGACATGGAGTATCTGCTCAGCCTAACTGATCACAGGAGCCATCAGCATGTTGCTATCAAACCTTAGAACCGCAGTGTAAGGTCGGAACCTCAATCTGCACACGGTGGTGATGGCTAAAGAGTCCTGACGTAAAGCCCAGGCCAGAGGGGGGGCTGAGCTCCCTCATTTACTGCTGTCAAAGGGTCAGACTATCAGTAATTAGACAGACGATTCTCCACATGCTGTCTGCTGCGGGAATCTGTCCATTTAGGCCCTAATGGAGGCCTTCCCTAAGCCTGCGCAGAGGAAGCGTGTGTGTGTGTGTGTGTGTGTGTGTCCGTCCAAACGAACAACTTAGTGAAGGAGATTAGATGGGGCTGGTGTGATAAGAATTAAGGTGACTGGCAGAGGGGGGCGGGTCGGTCCGGCACACTGGAGAGACGCACTTTGCGGTTGGCGCTGAGGTTGGCAGCGGGGATCTGCAGGGTGACCTGGTAGTCCGTCAGCTTGCTCATCTCCTCCGCCAGGAAGTTGGCCTCCCGCACCAGCGAGTTGGCCCTCACCACCTGCTCCCGCAGCCGGGACAGGCTCTGCCGGAACAGCTCGTCCCTGGCGGAAGCACAAGGCGCGTCACTAAGGGTGGCCACCTCCACGGGCCGCCGGCCGCCGTGACACCGCATGCTCACCGTTCCTCAGACCACAGTCGGATCTTGCCGTGGGCCACGTGGGTGGGGAAGGCCAGGCGGTCAGCGCCGCAGCGCAGGTGGGGGGGCGGCCGCTCGGGAGACAGCTGTTGCCGTAGCGACTCCAGCTCGCGCTCGTACATCATGCGCTGTTCCTCCAGGGCCGTGCGCTTCTCCTCCAGGTACTGCTTCTCCAGTATCTGGACCACGTTCTGCATAGGGTCTGACAGGGGCGCGGGGGTTGGGGTCACACAGAAGAGGATTATGGGAAAGAGTCGGCAGAGAGAGCGGCCGCAAGATAGAGGGAGGAGAAGGATAAGTGGAGAGTAGAAAGTCACAGCCTCCACTATATGGGGGGCATCTGCATGCTGGGAGACACACACTGACACAGACGCAGACGCAGACGCAGACACTGACTCAGACACTGACACTGACACAGACACAGATGCACACACTGCAGTGTCACATTCAGCATGAATCTCAGCATGGATCCACTGCATTTCTACAAATATCACTGATTTAAAGAAAAAGTGTGACAAAATACATACTTATACAAAACGTGCTTCACTTCCAGTAAAGCAGTAAAATGGCCTGAGAGAGACAGAGACTGAAGAAAGACAGTGAGAGAAAGGGGTAAAAGCAGACTAGTGTACACAAACACTAAGGTAGGTAGTGGATGGCCCAGTCGCAGTGCAGCTGTAGGCCCCAGACCTGCCTCCCGCCCAGAGAAGCTACTCTGCTTATCTGCTAATGGATCCCAGTCCACGGAGTCAAATTCCCACTACTGGCCTCCAATCTAACAGAATACATCTGCCCAAAAGTAACATATACATTACAGTGGGCCGGCTGGCTGAAAACATAAATCCCCTCAAAGGGAGAGCATCTGGAAAGAGCCCAGTGAGGGAGAGGCGGAGAGAGAGGCGGAGGGAGAGGCGGCTAAGCAGAGCAGCTGACTGGCATGTGCAGTGCGACACTGAGCCGACCGCTTTGGGTCACAGACCTGACGGAAACTGGGGCCTGTCTGTGTAATGAGACAGTGACAGAACAGTGTGTGTCAGAGGGGAGAGAGAGCCAAAGGACGAGACGGGAAGCCAAAGGTAACTGAGGGTGTAACATCTGGGGGGCGAAGATCAGGGAGATAAGACCAGGTGTGAACAGGGCCTAACATGCATCCTGGGTGATTCGCTCGGACATCACTAAACATGTCCGTTCACACCCGACATTAACATGCGTCTCTGCATGCGTCTCCGCATGCGTCTGGACTGACTGCCTTGAATCGGATCTCACTTTCCTGCAACTTATTTAAATAAGCACATAAATTACTTCCATATGCAGCATCTGTTGAACATTAAAAGAAAAAATCCAAAGCTATAGATGCATTCCAGGGTAAACAAACCGACTAAGATGTTTGTAATGAACAGCATAATACTCAAAATGAAATAAATAAATATATCTATAAATAAATAAATATTTCAATAATTAATGTGTCCTTTTAGTTTTAAATAATTCCATAAAACATATTAAATTTCACACTGTCTTCTATGTATAATATGTAAATTGTATTTCGTAGTAACGCTGTGATTTTCATTAGTCATTATTATGAAATATTATTGCACAAAATGCAAATGTGATTTCTTAAACTCATAAACACTATTTCACAAAAAGTTCAACTTCACATTGTAGACATACATTTTTATACTGTCTCAACACAGTACAAATATCTGTGTTAAAAAGGTCTTTCAGAACTAAGATATACCTAGAACTAAGATATACCTAGAACTAAGATATACCTAGGGCAGGCTACTGCTGTCCTATTCAAGGGCAAAGGGTTCAGCATTATTTTGGTTGCCATATGATAATATTTCAGCTTTTATTCATAATAAATGAAGCTCTAAATTTGATAAAAATTCAAGGAAGTGGTTCATTGTTTCCCTGGAGTGGAAATGAATTTCTGACCAGGAGTTCAAGCTCCCCAGACAGTCCAGTATAAAACTATATAAACAATCACACATTATTATATGTTTCAATTCATTTTCTAGGCCATTGAACGCACATCGTTACCGACCCACTTTAATTTTACGTTAATGTAATTTTCACCGGCACAGTTCACCAATATTAACAAAGCGTAGAGCAGTTTTGACATAAATAAGGAAACGTCACCAAAGTGGCATTAAATATTATCTGTGCAAATTCCAAAAAGATCTTTAACAAATGACTTACACAATTTATTTTTCCCGAAACTTGTGCACTTCCATGCGAATGGGTTGTGACAGTCCGATATAAACCAACTTCCCAGTAGATTCAAACTTATTTAGTTTGCATTATTTTGAGAGAATTTTCTTTGGGTCAGTTATTTTTTTAATTTCTACTAAAAGTAGAGATGGTAGTAAACTGTTGTTTGATATATTGATTTTAGATTGGTTTGATCGATCGGATGTCGATGCGTTTTGGGTGCGTTCACACCTGTAATAAGCGCTGTCCACTTGTGACTGGATCACCCAGGACGCACGTTAATACCAGGTGTGAACAGGGCCATAGTGACAGGCTGGTGAAAGGATGCTGTGAGGTTGTGGGAGAATAGGAGGGACAGAGAGGAGAGGAGGGGGAGGAACAGAGGATAGGGGGGGAGGCGAGAGGAGAGAAGAGGAGGCAGAGAGGAGAGGATAGGAGAGTAGGAGGAGCAGAGGAGAGGGGGAGGGGAGAGGACAGGAGAGGTAGAAAGGAGAGAATAGGAGAGGGGGAGGAAGAGAGGAGTGGAGTGAGTTGAGAAGAAAGTGGAACAGAACATTTTTTCAGTGTTTCGCAACAATTAAAAAGGAATAAACTGTGAAATACGAGGTAAAGGAGCTAAGGTGCGGAAAGTTCTTTATTACTATCATCTGAGAGAGGAACCGCTGAAACCTGTCAACATCGATGTCAAGCTGAGGAAAGACGCTGACAGAGGCAGCCCTGGAGATACGAGCATGTGTGAGTGAGTGAGTGTGTGTGTGTGTTTGTGTCTATTTATGTTTCTGACGGACAGACATGGGGATGTCCTCACAAAACAAACAGGCCCCTCTTCCTGTCAACAGCCTCTTAAATAACTGTGCTGCTTTGTTCCCTTTTTCATTTTTTTAAGAACAGTTAATTAGCCTGTTGGTGCGTGATGATGGTGATGATGAAGGTGCAGAGGATGAGCAAGTCCTACCATTGTTCCCCAGGGCCTTCATCATGACCTCCGTCTGGGCAAACTCGTAGCTGTAGTCCTGTTCGGACGAGGCCTCGCTGGCCGTCTCCACGTCCTGCTCCACCAGACTGTCTCGCGGAGAGCCCCTGTCCGCCTCCTTCAAGCGGTCCCGCCTCTTCCTCTTGGGTAGACTGACCCTGGATGCAGAAGAAATACGGTAACTAATCCTGCAGGATAATCAGTGCTGTCGCTTGGCTGTTGCAAACACAAATGTTTCATTACACAGCTAGCAAGGTAACATGTGCAGCAGTTCTAAGTATTAATTATTGGGTATTAGTTTGGTAAATCTGAAGATAAGCAGAGAGGAGCCCAGTTGGTACCTGAAGAAGTGGTTGTTTCCCCACAGGATTCGGTCCCCGTGCCACAGGTGAGTCGTGGAGTAGATCACAGTGCCGTTCACACAGGTCCTATGGACACACACATGCACCAGGTCAGTAACTGGCAGCCACATTGATGGGAAAGAAGGACAAGTCTCCAATCTAGACATATTCCCGGACAACTTACTCTACAAAGAGCAAGCTGGAGGCGTAAAAACAATTTCCCCACGGGGACAATAAAGTATCAGTTATTATCATTATTATTATTATTATCTTCTTGATGGAAAGTGGGTGGTTACTGAATATCTCACAGACAAGCAATTTAAGACACAGGTGGGCTGTGAGATGGACTAACATACCCTGACTGACATGACCAAACACTGCACAGAATCGCACTGCACAGTGTAAAGCATTACGATGATTATTATCACTGCTATGATTACGCCCAGACAGCCACCAGGCCCCAGGACCCTGCAGAGGAGGTGCAGTTCTGGAAGATGTACGCATGATTTTAAGTGCCATCTTTACTTTACTTTACCCACAGCAGGTCAGTGTACTGGAGCAGCTGTGAATAAGTGGCCTGTTCTAATACAGCATGTTAAGGTCCTCGCTGTGCCACACTGCGCCCCCTGCAGAGCCTACCTGGCGTTCTCCATGGGGGTGAGGGTCACGTCCCCGTCCGGGCTCATGTCCAGCATGCAGTGGTCCGGCAGGATCCCGATGCCGAACAGCTGGATGTCCTGGGAGGTGTCGGCCCCCACCAACGTGTGCTCCTGGGGGGGGAGGGGGTTATAAATAATGCCTCACACGACAAGAAGGGTCATGTTCAATAACAAATAGCAGGGAATGACCCATATTGCATAATCACCTGGGGACTGTGATCATCCGAATTATGTGCTTCTAAAAGCACATAATTAACAGCAATCATACTAATAAAGACCCAGCAGTGACTGTCCCACTTAAATGCTGATACAGAAAGTACAGGTGAAGGCATCGCCGACTGGCCGCTCCAGGGCGAATCCTGTGGCCGTCTATGCAAGTGCCAGGCAATTATTCAGGGAGAGGGAGACACAGACAGAACAGCGCCACCAACCACACCCAAAGCCAGACCATCTCAGCTCAGCCCCCATCTCCACGTGGGACACAAGGAGAGTCAGCTACATGAGTTAGTGCACAATTCCCTAAATAAACTAGACGACTTTCATTTGAGAGTCCAAGTCCTCCAGAGGATTCTAGGGAACTCATCTGTCATAAAGTAAAACGGCTTTAGGAAATATCAAATGACAGCGTTTGTGAAGTGTGCCCTGGACGGGATGGAGAACAGCCACATGACATGGGGATGAGAGAGGAAACCAAACAGAGGACAGGGATGCAAAGGAAAGACAGCAGGAAACACGCAAGAAAACTATACAGGAGTCTGGTCTCAAGAGGCATCATGGTGGGTTACTGAGACCTGCAGTGCATTGTGGGAAAAAATACAAAAAAGCAGAAGCCAATCTTGTATGTCAGCAAGGATGTAACAACAGACCGTGAGCGGATCTCAGCAGTCATCATCTTCATCATGGAGATACAGAACTCGTCTCCACCCGGAAAACTGGACTTTTTGCTGCACTTTAAACAAACCCAATGATGAAGAGAACACTGACGTCTGTAGGGTCTGACAGCAATCCAGTCATTTTTATGGCTCTGTTGTTCCAGATGAAATGTTCCGACTCCCTTCATCCTTAGCTTGTCCTAATTTGCGTCTGGATACCGAAGGTCTGGGCCCAGTGCTCCCATTATTCCCAAAGCTAGATGTGTATTACAATGCAGATTTTAATTTTTATGCTGCAGCATAAGTCAACATGGGTGGGGGGGGGGGGGGGGGGGGGCTTTAGTGAAAAGTCTGTCCTATGACTGAGCTCAACCCCAGTTTTACTGAGGACTTCATTTACTAAAATCAGTACTTAATTTATAGAGCTTGGAATGTTCTGGAAGATGGTGGAAAGACTCCCTGGTGCCAAAACAGCTGAACTGATGAGACTGAAGACATGAGACGAGCTTTGGTTGTTTCTTTACTGTAACCTAGAAGACGGCTGCTTCCTCCAAGCGTTACAGGCTTAGCAGAGCCTATCTCCTGGCCCTTGTGAAAAAATAGTGTACTAAAGTATATTAACAGTATGCTTTGATCACTAGAAGTATAATGAAAATGCATTCTCTTTACACACATTTTTTAAATACACTGACATTATACTTCTGTGTACTTTTAGAAAATATATTTTGCTTTTAAACATAATTAAGTACACTGAAGCACACTTTTATATTATGTCTGTAATCAAATATACTTTAGTACATTTTTTAGGGATACAACACACTTAAAATGTACTTAATAGACTTTGCTGAAAGTATATTTTTTGTACCAAGTGTATTTAAGTACATACTTTAGTACACTTTTTTCACAAGGGGGACAAAATAGCCAAGTGGGGCTGAGCAGCAGCGTGTCACCAGACAGGAAGTAGCAGGCCCCCCCTACTCTCCTGGTGCATGCTGGGTAAGCAGGATCTCCGCAGCCCAGCCGCTCAGTGACACAGAAGCTTCTGTTCACACGGACACCCCCGGAGTTGGACTCTTTCCGGAACATTCACGGGACACACATGGAAGCTCAGACGAGATGAAGCCAGCGGCCCTATGAATGATGACTCCACTGGGCAGGTAGCACGTTTTCCAGGGAAATAAAGGGCCTGTTCTTGCCAAACTCAGAGACACGCGGAACTGAAAAGGCCTCGTCTGGTTAAATGAAGGGCCAAACACCACGAGCCAAGATAAAAACACAAAGAGGAGGGAAAATGGCAACAGCCTGTGGCCATGCAGCACCTCCCCTTCGGACATGAGGGTGGGGATGGGGCACGTGAGGTCAGAGACACACCAGACTGACGTCCAGGACGCTCACCTTCAGGTAGTAGACCAGGAGTTCGTTGAGGGCGGGGTCAGCGTTCAAGTTGACGAGGAAGCACTTGTCCTCCCCAACCTTTATCCCTGACAACTCCAAGGAGATCCCCATGCTCTCCAGCTGCTTCTGCCGTTCCTGCAGACACACAGACACACACACACACACACACAGACAGACAGAACTTTGAAATACCTTTCAAGGCCTAAAGGCTTGATCTTCACTTTTAAACCTTTGCCATGGACATTAATGCGCGATTTAAAAGCATAATTGCTTTTGAGCACTTGGAAACAGGCCTGTTCCAGCTTGGTGCTCAGCTCCACACGCCGCGTCTCCGGCTCCCAGATTCACCCCGAGGAGAATTTATCTTAATTCCCATCTCTGAAAATAATCTTTGCAAATGATGGGTCTGGTGTCTATAAATAAAGGTGCTGTTAAAAATGTGAAAAAGACTCTGCTGCATCATTTAACACCCAGTATATGGGAGAGTTTGCCAGACTCGCATGTCCTCAGTGACAAGAGAGCAGGCGGTGCGCGTGTGACGCGACTGCAGCTGACCGTCTCCTGCCACGGTGCCCGTTACACACACGTTACACACACGTTACACACACTGGGGCCGCGACTCTGCTGACACAGGGAGGCTGGGACATATATAATGTCACCATCTGATAGGCCAAATAAAAACAGCCACTGGCTGATTGGCTAGGTAGACTAGCCAAGCAAAGGCAGTTAACATTTGTTTGAATGATTACAGTAAACTGCAGTACCTGCGAACTGTATTACAAACACGACTGTGTGTAATGCACTGTACTACTCTGCCTCGCAGGTGCAGGACACATTCAGCTATGAAACCTGCTGGGAAGAGAACCTGCATCCTTCTGGGTAGGAAGGTGCTCCTAACCACTATGGCCCTGACTTGTGAAGAACATCTCCTCTCACAATTAGTATTTATTTAAAATGTCAATCAAACTGGGGAGAGATGACTGCCCTTGCTTTCTTTGTCACTGGTTTTTATTGTCTGTCCCATTATGGTTTGAAAGCTCTCCAGTGAGACAGGCACTGCTCTGATGGGAGAAGCCTACCTGCGCGATCTCCTCAGTCTTCCTCAGCTTCTCCTCCCAGGTGATGGTCATCTCCTGGATCAGCTTCTCAGACTCCTGCAGCTTCTCCTGCAGCTCTGGGGCTTTCAGGGACTGAGATACGGCCGCCGTTAATCCTCCCCGCCCTTTCCCGTCATTCCCCGCCCCAAACACCACCCTGGCTCTGCTGGGTCCCACCTCAGCCTGGGACAGCTGCTCCTTCAGCTTTTCCACCTCCTCGCGGAGCTCGCGGATGATGCGGGCGTTGGGGTCCTCGTTGACCACGGCGTGGTTGACGATCCTCTTGGCGCGGTCGGCGTAGCGCAGGGTGGACAGCGTCTCCTCGTAGTTGTCGGCCGCCGGGCTGACTGTGGCGATCATCGCCGTCTTGCTGTTACCCCCGAGGTTGTCCTGTGCAAGCGGGGACACCGTGCGTGTGTGCGAGTCTGCCCTGCTCTGCCACACCTCCGACTTACACTTACTCATCAGCAGAAAGCCCCCCCACTGCAGATAATGATCATACTACCCAACAGAAGGAGCAGTGGCAGGGACATAATCACCAGCTGCCCCATTAACAGCTCCATTTCACCTCGGGCACGACGTACGGAAAGTTCTACGGAACGGTATCGAGGGCACTTCCAGTAGCCGGGTGCTGAGGATCCTGTGAGAGAGGCTAACAGGAACCACACACGCCGCACTGTACACGTTGACGCACACTGGTGCACGTTTGGTGAAGGTGAACCCCCGCAGTCCCCCAGACCCCCCTACCTTGAGCAGCCAGGTGAGGACAGAGTCCCTGTAGGGTACAAACTTAGGCTTCCCCTTCCCCGCCGACTGGTCTGCCAAGGCAGAGATGACGCAGCCCAGGGTTGTCAGGGACCTGGGGGGTGCAGAGGCACGGTGAGGTGGCTGGCGTGGCGGCGACCCTTCCCCCCCCCCTCCACCAGAACAGCACTGCACTCACTTGTTGATGTTGCTGCCCTCCTTTAGTCTCTCGCCCGCCGCCCCCGTCTTGGACACGCGCTCACTTCCCGCCAGGTCCACCAGGCTCACTTTGCTCACCTTCTCGCCCGAGTTCTGTGGACAGCCACCCACGTGAGAGCTGCTCCGACCAAGCCAGCCTCGTGTTCAGAGGTAGGGGACACCACTCCATCACAACAGCCAAAGGAAATTCTTTTTCACCGACTAGACGTAGCAAACGTCTGACACATGTGTATTACTTCAGCGAATCTCTATCCTGTTTGCAGGCAGTTCAAGTTACACTGCATAGATTTCCTGGCTACAGCTGATCTGAGAGAACAAAGTCAAGTCACTGCTGGCTCATTAGTATTGATGACGATATGAAGCTTCATGAACCACTTGCTGTATCTTCCGACCCCACTAGATGGTGCTCTCTGTTCAAAAAAGGGCTCAAAGAATGTCCCAAAGCAAGCCAAGAGCGCCATCTAGTGGGGTCAAAAAATACAGCAAATGGTTCATTAAGCTACATTTGGCATCACTACTCATTTGTAAGTGTAAAAAATCTGAATGTCTGTAACCCATCACTGGATCCTTATGTGACATACTCAGTCTGCTAGGGGAGTTCAGTATTAATTGCTGTTTTTAAGAAACTTTTCGTCAGATTTGAAATTGAACAGACTGTCCAAGAGCATATTAATTGGTCACTCAATGGTCCAAAATGACACACCAATGCAGCCATCAATATCTCAGCAGCTCAGGTTGATGTTTGACCAGGAAAAATGCAGATGTTGTGTCACATGACAGGAGGCCTCGGCTCACCCCAGACTGCAGGTCGTAGAGCGTCTGTGTGACAATGATGCTGAAGACGGCGTGCGACCGGCTGCTTTCCTCGTTCATGTTGGTAGCGGCGACCGTGCGGGATTTGTTCCCCTCTGACATCAGCGACTCGATGTCCTGAGGGGGTGGGAGCAGCACTGTCAATCACAGCCTGTCACCATGGAAACAGGCAGGTGAGGTCACTGCAGAGGCAGCACCTGCTCATGTTACTGATCTCAGAACAGCAGGCATTTCACAGGCTGGACGCCGACCGTCATAGAGGTGCTTCACAGGCTCATTTCTAATTCACATCCTAACGTTACATCGCCGTTTATTAGCCTGCGTGCTGCCAGGATGGAACAGGAGTCCAGCCAATGGCGGCACGGCGCAGATGCACGGTTATGCTAATGGGAAGGAGGCAGCGCTACACACAAGCGCGAGCGACAATGGGTCGATTGTGAGTGTCGGATTACAGCAAGTCACGGGGCTGTGCTCCTGCGGCCCTGACAGCTGCTCCACCGCTGCTCCTCCGCTGCTCGCAGGCCTGCTATCTTTCTGCTGTCAGCTCGTCAGGCCTGCCGCATCCTCGGAGCTCTCAGGCGCATGTAACACTGCCCTCCATTTGTCAAACCGACAAAGAACATGCTCTTCTCTTATTTGATGCTCACTGACAGCAAACAGGAAGAGCGTAGCGAGTACAATATGGGGCTCAGTGTGCAGCACACGCAGCGGTACGTTTTCAGGGTTCAGGCTGGGAATGGCAGTGAGGGGCGAGTCCCTGACCCACCTCAAAGCTGGTGACAGCCAGCTGCGAGAGCCCGTCCACGTAGGGGCCCAGGACCTTGTGCTCTCGGACTTTCAGGGACTGGCGGCCCCTGAGGAAGAGAGGGAGGGATAAAGGCATGAGAGCGGGATGGAGAGGCACAGATACATGTGCTGCCACTCAACCTATTCCACATTAATGCATGATTACAGCCATGCGGCCCCCCGCAAGGCACTGTTGCCATGGTGACTAAAGGTCAGGATTACCTCATTCTATCTACAGCCTTACGCTTTTCCCCTGATTTAGTGCAGGATGTTAAGCCCTCGGAACAGGCCCATCAGCGCCCTCTAGAGGCAGGGAGAACTAGACTACATGACCCCCTTTGGACTGCTTGGCTGCTTGAAAAAGCAGGCTTTGGTCTGATTTGATTATAAAATGTCAAGCTTTTATTACTTAACCCATACATCAAGTGTGATATTATAAACTAGTAGGGGCAGAGCACAGAGCAGTGGCAGACGCAAACAGATCTTAAACACAGGTTACATCTACATTAGGCCTCCAGTGTCTTCAGCCTGTCCACAGTGAGATCCTGCACTACGTGCATGAAGGGCTTTACCAGAGGGGAAGAGCATTAACAATGATCACCAACTGTCTAGAAAAGCCAGACCATGAATGACACTGAAGGTCAGATATGAATACAGCCAGGAGGACTGAGACTCCCCAACCCTGACCCTCCAGATCCAATCAGGAAACAGGAAACTGCTCCCACCTTCCTCTGGCCACAACCAATAAACAGACTAAGTGGGAGGGGTATAAGCCTTTCTTGCTTTTCACAGTTCACACTGCTGACACCACGTTGCCTGGGCCATCCGGCAGATGGCCAAAGGTGCAGAGCCGGAGAACTGATACAGCATGTGAACAGGGGCCCCTGGAGCTCTGGAGCTCGCACTCAGGAGGCTGCGGCGCTTTGGCATATCATCAGACATGATCCTCTGAACTCCATACAAAACAAAGACCACAGTACGCAGGAATACCCTCAGATATGACCCCCGATTACTGTACAGAACAAAGACCACAGTACACAGGAATACCCTCAGATATGACCCCCGATTACTGTACATAACACACCACAGTGCACAGGAAAATCCTCTGATATGACCCCCGATTACTGTATATAACGACCACAGAGCACAGGAATACCCTCAGACATGTCACCAATATCTGTTCTCCAGACAAACAGCTACTTCAGTCTCTCCTAAGCTTTTCCTTCCGCAGCTTCTGCTTCTGGTCTTTAAACAAATCTTTTTTAATGGCACCTCTGCCAAAGGCAGTCTTCCGGAAACATGCAAAACTGTATGAAAGAGAAAAGCGTGCAAGTACAGAAACAGTGCAATGAGCCCCACACATGGTGCAATTTCCCGAGGCCTCTGCCAGCTCTTACTTAAAGTCACACAGGCTGAAACTTTAATAAAATTAGACCGCATACATCAGTATTTATTCACTCTATAAAAAAAAAAAAAAAAACCTGTTGCTTTAAGAAGTGATTGTGCTTCAACTCCTGTTTCAAGGAAAACCAGAATGCTTAAAAAAGTTGAAGGCAAGAGGAAGATCAGCAACAGGGGGGACAGACTCAATTATCAAATGAATCCACATGCATTTGGGAAACCTACAGAACCAAACAGAAGACAATTAGAGAAAAAAGCTGCATATCAGGTTGCCAGAAGTTCACCTAATGATGATGACAGCAACAAGTAGCAACAATGAAACAGCAACAATAAATAATTATAATAACAACAACCAGTTTTTATTGCATTTATGCAAGCTGTCTGGTCGCATAAATGCAAAGAAAACTTAAGTTAGACCTGCTGCTTTTGCTATAGTACATAGTAACACCGCATTTTAAAACCTCGTACAGTTTTCTGTATGACTGCTGCTGTGTATGAAAGGTCTATTTCTGCTTCATTGACGTGTTGCAAGCCTAGTTCTCAGTGGGTCTCGGTGTATGATGTCGCTGCGTTGTCGGAGTGCGCGCCCCTGACAGGTTTCTCACCCTTTGGGGTCCAGCAGATCCCGGACCTTCTCGTTGTAGATCTCCATGTAGGACACCTCCACTTTGAAGGAGAGAGTCTCGCTGCAGTTCTGTGAGACCCTCTCAAAGAGCCTGCAGCAGAGCCGGGGAATCAGGCCCGGCTGGTCCACACTGCCCATCATGGAAAAGGACTTCCCAGAGCCTGCCAGGAATGACATTAGAGCGGCGTTTCTTAATCCAGTCCACATCTTTGCTCCCTCCCAGCTCCCAGTAATGTGAACTGTCTGGATGGGAGCTGAGAGGGAGCAAAAACCTGGACCGTCTGTGGTTCCCCAAGGACTGGATTGGGAAACACAGCATTACATCAAGCTGCTCCTGAACCTCCACAGGTTGTGAGGGCTCTTACAGTCATTATGAATTGTAGCAGAACATCATGCTAAAGCTTCCACAAGCTGCTGCATTTCTACCGGCTCCAGAATTTATATGGATGAATCTTTCCTCACCTTTCATTTCATAGGTCTCTGTCCGCGTCAGAAAGCAACAAATTCCTTCAACGGACACTCTACCCAATGTTTGAGGCATAAGTCTGGCAAATTCAAGATCCAAACTTGAAAGTGCTGTCAGGATCACTGTATTCCCTGGACAGCCGCATCTCCTGCTCCGCCCACCTAAATCGTATTCCATGCACACTCACCAACCTGTACAACTTATGTAAGTACCTCATGGGTCACCTGGAAATGTGAAAAAATTATGTGTTTTCACCTGAATGAAGTCCTTCTTGTGATGTGTAGGTCTAAAACTACACCTGTTTGTTTATTGCACATTCCGTATACATTGTAAACTGTTCATTAAACTCATTTACATTTAACTAAGGCTTTTATCCAAAGCGACAGTAGGGGGAAAGGTTATAATTTGTGTCGGCTCCCTGGGATAAGAACCCACCATTTCTGCATTGTTGGCATAACACTCTCCCTGTTCAGCTATGGGATCGCTGCTGACACCAAACTAAAGCAGGATTTAGTGTAATGCGCCCCTCAAATAGTAAATCAAACGCACAATTGCACAGTCAGAAAACAAAAGGGAAATACTGGTTCAAAATGGGACACAGCACCTTATTTTTCAAACTTTACTCCAAAAGACGACTAGATTCATATGGAATAGAAATATTGGCAAAAAAGTGAACTTATCTTCCTGATCGCTGAACTTTCATTCAGAATGGTTACATGTGGTTTTCAGCCACACACACACACAAAATATATATATATATATCATGAATTATTACAAGCCTACCTTATGCACTCTCACATGATTAAATTCCTCAAAGATCAAAAACAGTGAATAGAATGAATAATTAAAAATACATCGATCCTGTTCACAATGATAAGCTTCTAAACAGCTCATCCTTCTTTCTCCTGTCACTGTTGCTTAAGTTTTGATGTGATTTGTCTAAAAATTTGAACATGTATAACACATTTGAACATGTATAATACAATGTGCCTGCAAATTTGGAAATGATGGGCCAAATAGGTTTTGGGTTTTCATTCTGACAAGGATCAAGTGTCTGACCCGACCTTCTCTTTGCTGTTACTATGCGATACTGTTTCAGTTTTGGGATGATCCATCTCAATTTGAGCACTTCCAGTTCATCGCCCCTATAATGTCTGAATTTGAAAAAGATCAGTAAAACACTTCTAGAGTTACTGTGTTCACAAGACCAAGTGTCTCCTACAGCTGCTGTTTCCTTCTTGATGCTACATAGTGCTTGGGCTTCATTTCTGGGGCAATTTGAAAATGAAATCACTTGAAGATCATTATCCACATAACGATTTTGTGAAGCAGTAATAAGATCCATCAAATTCTTTTTGACTTGGCACATTCACAAGGCACTGCTCCAATTTTAGGGTGATCAATCTCAAAATTGAACGCCTTCCAGTTTGGCATCCCTAAAATGGCACTGCAAAGTTTGAAGAAGATCCATCAAAACTAGACACTAGAGATGCACCCATCCGATATTCACCGACCCAGACTTATGTGACGGATCGGGTAACAGCCATACATGACCGATCCACGTCCGATACTTACTTATGTAGTTTTTGGCAATCTCTAAAAAGACAGCTCCTATTTCACGTTTAATCTACTTGTACAATCAATCACACGACAGCTCTTTCACATTTTATATGTTTTTTTTGCAGCATTCAAGCTGAATGCTAATACTGCAACTCAGTCTGTTTGCTACTCAGCGGATATGAGCGCAGTGACTTCCGTCTGCTGTGACATCATGCGCATACCCTTTGCAGTATGAGGTGCGTAAGAACATCAGAAAAGAGGGTGACGGTCTGGAAGTATTTTACGTTTTTAACCGCAACTAGTAGCACTGAGATTTGTAATCTTTGTAAAAACAAAGTTTTCAGAGGTGGGAGCAACGTTTAGTGAGAAACCACACTAAAAGCACTTGCAATTGTGCGAGACAATGAGAGTAATATGAAAAATCAACGTATGATTTGGGAGTCGCTAGCTTGGGCTACGGGGGGTGATGCTATTGCTACGAAGTGTGTGTGACGTCCTGGTCAGTGAGAGAAAAATTGTGGGGCATTTTAAGCATTCGCCACTTGTGTATCTTCACAGATATTCAAAATGAACTTCACAGATATTCAAAATGAACTGCAAAATGCCTCAAAATGCCTCATATAAATGAGGCGAAACAGTAAGATATGTTTCTAGCAGCCTAATTAAAAAATTGACATTTTTTTCATGTTTATTTACTAGTTTAAAAATGTAAATAATATATAAAGTATAAAATATTATATATATTTATTATATTAAAAGAATAAAGTAAAAAGAGGTCTTGTATTGGAATCTGTATCAGTATCAGCGTCGGAGTGGAATTGAAAAAATGTAGATCAGCCCAACCCTAAAAACTTTTTGAGTTGTCTTAATGGGATCACGAGTCAAAACTGCCCATGTTTTGCTATCACTGTGCAGCACTGCACAGTGCTGTTGGTCAGAATTTAATCACTTTCAATTCCTCACCCATACAACACCTCTGTAAAGTTTGAAAAAGATCCATCACACAGTTTTTGAGTTATCCTCTTAAGGAAAGCGTCTGCAGCAGCAGCCCAGCGCCAAAAACATACGTGAGCACCCAACAACTAAATGCAATCCAACATGGGACTTGACTCAGTGGTGACAGCTATTATGATGCTGCTGCTACACTAGTATAAAAAAAGGAATCGGGTCAAGGAATCTGTTCGCTGACCAAATTTTCTACGTGAACCAATACATTTCTTTCACAAATTTTTTGGTTGCGAACCAAATTGTTCATAGACCACAGCGTTCGTGGACCGCAGGCACCAATGTACTAGAAAATTATATAAGTAACTGATATTTGTTTTATTATTTCAATCTGTTGCACCTGCTCTTGCTTGGTAAAATATGTCAGATGAAGTTGGGTATACAGCAACTCATTTTCAGTTAATTGTTATTTGTACCTCTTTCCAGTTACAGAGTAGTATATTTTGAGATGATCCTGCAACTTGAAGTTTGAAGAAAAGTTGATTTTCGTTTGTATATGTTTTCAATTACAGTTCTTAGAAAGAAAATCGGAATCGGCAAAAATCGGTATCAGCCAGTCACGCTTGCAAAAAAAATCGGCCAAGAAAATTGCCAACGTTACATCTCTAATTCCTGCTGATTCTACCTGTGTTACGGGAACAATGCTCAGGACAGAGGTACCTGTTTGTCCGTAGGCGAAGATGCAGGCGTTGTATCCTTGAAAGGCATTTTCAAGAATTCCTTCCCCAAGACACTGGTACACGACCTCCTGACCTATAAAACAGGTGGATGAAGCCTTCAGTCAGAGGACAGTACCAGTAACTGTCAAGAGATGTAAAAGCGAAGATGAAATAAGACAAACACAGGAAATGATACATCAACACGGACCCACTCTGCAGTCAGAGAAAAGCAGAGCGACGTTCCCAAAACACTAAACCAATGCTATTATTCTATAAACATCCAGCTACCACTAACCCCCTCCTGTTTTGCCACCTCCTCCTCACAGACCTGTTGCTGCACCTGAAGCCTGAGAGATGGGACAGAGCCCCCAGGAGACCAGCTATAACGCTTCCTGCTCTTGGGAGTTGACCCTCACCCATCTCAGTAATTAAATACACACTCAGGATCAAAGAGAGCAGAGATCTGACATTTATGAGACCCCCTCCCTGGGGGCAGCATTCCTGAGAGAAGAGCTTACAACTCTATTCCTAGCTAAGTCCAGATCTCAAGAGTAAAAATGCTTTCTTCCTCGGTTACACACTGGTGCTGGCCTTTTGACACATAAACCAGACAGACAGAAACAGCAGCAGCTGAAGCCATTTACGGTACAAATAACTGCTTCTGCATTATATTAGGAGCTCAGGTTGGACCACTGCGGCTCTTGAAGAGCAGAGTTGGACTTCCCAGCTATGAACCTTCCCCAGCCAATCACATTCTCTTTGCTTTGTCACCTTTCAGCCTTGGCTCCGGAGCCTTCTTTCCCAACCCAACCAAGTTCTCGGGTACCTGCAGACAGTCCATGTTGTTGCTCCCTCTCAGGTCCCGGTAGGGAGCTAGGAGGGAGCAAAAACGTGGACAGTCTAGTAGAAAGTTAGCGGGGAGCATAAATGTGGACAACCTGGTAGGAAGTTAGCAGGAGCAAAAACGTGGACAGTCTGGTAGGAAGTTAGCAGGGAGCAAAAATGTGGACCGTCTGGCAGGGAGTTAGGAGGGAGCAAAATTGTGGACCATCTGGCAGGGAGTTAGGAGGGAGCAAAAATGTGGACCGTCTGGCAGGGAGTTAGGAGGGAGCAAAATTGTGGACCATCTGGCAGGGAGTTAGGAGGGAGCAAAAATGTGGACCGTCTGTGGGTCCCTGAGTAGCGGGTTGGGAAATGCTGCCCCTAAGGAATACACTCAAAAACCAGTTCACATGCTTTACTATAATTTACCTCCAACTCCAGAGTAAAACCAGTGCAGAATAGATCAAGGGAAATTGGACCATGCAGCTGTTGATAATGACATAATTACTCGTTGTTAATGGCTGAGGGGTTTTCCCTTGTCATCATAGCGATTATTAATGCAGGGGGAAAAAAACAGAACCGACTGAAAAAGAAGTGGAGACAGGACCAGACAGGCAAATGTATCAGTCAGCCTAGCAAGGACCACCCAGCAGAGAATAGAGACACAGCAGTACGCTAATCAACGTGGATATGGTGCTACACTAACCACCCAATACACAGAGCAGACATGGCACTATCCTAATCACACAGCACACAGTGTGGATACAGTGCTATGCTAATCACACAGCACACAGTGTGGATACAGTGCTATGCTAATCACACAGCACACAGTGTGGATACAGTGCTATGCTAATCACACAGCANTGCTATGCTAATCACACAGCACACAGTGTGGATACAGTGCTATGCTAATCACACAGCACACAGTGTGGATACAGTGCTATGCTAATCACACAGCAGACAGTGTAGAAACAGAACTATGCTAATCATCCGGCTCAGTGTGGACATGGCACTATGCTGATCACTGAGCACAAAGTGTGGACATGGTACTATGCTAATGACCGACACACAGAGTGGTCATGGTGCTATACTAATCACCAAACACACACAGTGGACATGGTGTAATGCTAATTACTCATCAGGCAGTGTGTACACTGTGCTACGCTAATCACCCGGCAC